AAAGAGTTCCGTCTGAATGCTTTTCCCTCCATTATTAGATTGATGCAATTCAGGCATGGCATAGGAAAGACTTGTGTGTAACCCATTGTCAACCTGGCACCTGGCTTTCTTCTCGGGGTTCCTAAATTACAAACTAAAGGAAAACTAAAAACGAATCAACAATCATCAGACCACAGCTTAGAAACTCCATGAATAAAACATACACACAGAATAACACCAAGGCTTACCTTTCTTTTATCTTCATCTGTTGTTTCAAATTTGAAAGTAGCCCTATGCTGAGGGGGGAAAAAAGGGAAACAATGTCATTTTAAATACACTCATTTTAAATTTTGGCTATGTTTAAAAACACATGATAATGTGCCTGTAAAAATGTTACCTTCTCATATCTCATTATTCTTCATAAAGCAAGAAAAACAGGCATGTAAGCAAATAATTACAAAGCAGTTTGAAAATACTACAGTAGAACTATATTCAAGGAAACACAGAGAACCAAACCACTAACTGCCCAAGAAAATGTGGAATGCTTTCATAGAGAATAAAGCATTTGAGCTGAATCTTGAGGGATGTTTGCCAGGAAGCAAATGAACAGCATGTTAGGGACAAAAAAAGGCTTAGATATGTGAACCTCTATGATGTATGTGTGAAATAAGCAGCTCTGAGACTGGAACATAGGACACATATTAGGACAGGGGGAAGAAAAGATTGGAAAAGTAGATTTGATTGAGACATGGAAGGTCTTCCAATGGTGCTGAGGAGTTTATAGTTTCTTTTCATATATAATAAGAAATCATAAGAAAACTAGATATAGAAGAGACCTGATAGTTGGTAATTCAGAAAAGTACTTCTATAAGAATGCGTTTAAATCATGGCTCTGCCACTTACTAGCTGTGAACTTGAGCAAGAAAATAACTGAGCTGCTCATCTGAAAACAGGGTTACCTAGTTCATAGGGTGATTGTGAGGGTTAAAAGGTCTAAGGCACACAACATACCAGACTGGTGTCTGGCACACAGTAAATATTCAGTATATATTAGGGTTTAATAGATATGCTAAGAATATTGATTTAAAAAAATAGGAAGGGGGGCAGGCAGGCAGCATGTAGTTAAGGTGCTGGATTCCCACATGGCTGACCACAGTTTGAGTCCCGGAGCTGGCACCTTGTTCTCTCACTTTCTCTGGTCAATTAAATAATAATAATAATAAATTTTAAAAATTAAACAAATAATTCTTGGGAACCAGCAGTTAGTGTAATGGCTATGTCGCTGGACTCCCACATAGTCAACCGCGGTTCACGTCCCGGACCCGGTGGCTTAAAACTCACGCCGGGCGTGTGTGTGTGTGCGTGCCCAAGATCCTGAGAGGAGAAGGGATTGCGGCGTGACCATCCCCCCTGGGGGGTGATTTCTCGCTTTCTGTCTCTATGTTTCTCTCTGTCTGTCTATAGAGCGCATGCGCCCTATAGCAAAAACCTCTAAATAAATAAATAAATAAATAAATAATTCTTTTAAAAAATAATAGTAATAGGAAGGGGAGAAAATGTCAAGACTCTCTTGAAATGATTGGTGCACTCTATTTTCCACTCTGTAGCTAAAGTAGAGGAGAATGGAAGAAAAATTGGCTTGTCCACTGTCATAGAATGCTAGCATTATACCCCCCAAATAGGGAAAACAACAACAACAACAAAAAAAAAACAGAACACAGAATTCCTCATTTTCCTCTTAAGTTTAATAAGGAAATCCGAGTTCTTATAAATTCTAAGCCTTCTTAAAAACAAAAACTCCTAAACTTGTTTCTACCTTTCCTTTGTATTTCTCTAACTGGCTACCTGACAAATATGGCCACTCACTTTAAGTTAGGTACACCAAATACTAAAGATATAATCAATTCCGGTGGGTCTGCATTGACAGTTTTATAGAATAAACAATTTTTGAAACTAAATGAGATGGAGAAACATTGGCAGAGCAGCAGTTCTGAATGTAAGAAATGATCAAAAGGAAGAATTAGAGGTAAGAAATAAGAAATAATGGCCATTCGAGGAAAACAAAGAGGCTGCCCTAAACAAGGATACTAAACAATTAAAATGAATGAAGTCTGGTGGTAAAGCCTGAACTTAAAAATTTATGCCTGAGCTGGCAGATAAATGGAAAGTAACCAGGGAAGACTATGAGAAAGGTATGAAGAGCATTCTGGAAGAATATTTTGGGTAGTAGCTCACAAGCTAGGTCAAAGGAGAAAAAGATTGAAGATGTAAAACCATAGGAGGAATAGGCATCAATAATCCAGACGTTATATTACTTATGGCAGTATGAACTGACACAAACCTTAAAAGGGAAAGTGATTTGGCAACACATATTAGAAGCGATAAAAATATTCATACCCTTTAACCTAGAACTCCTACTCCCAGGAATTTATCCTAATGAAATCATCCAGATAGAAAGAAAAATTATACATATAATTATATTCGTTATAGTATTATATAATATTGTGGAAGAAAAAAGAGACAAACTAAATATCTAACAGGAGACTAATGAAATGCGAAAGTAATAATATTGTATTGAACATATCAGATAGAATGTTATTTTAAAAAAATGATTCACTGTTGGTATATTACTTTTACAATAAAAAGGAAAAACTGCAAAAAATAAAGGATAAAAGAATGATGAATAAAGAAGGTAATGAAGAAAGAAAGGGGAAGAAGGAAGGAGAGACGAGTTGTAAATCTGAACGCGAAACTTAGAAATGTACAGATCTGGGACCAGCGGGTGGCGTGGTGATTAAGGCGCTGGACACTCCCACATGGCCAACCAGGGTTCAAGTCCTGAATCTGGTGGCTTGTTTTCTCATTTCCTCTCTCTCTCACTCTCAACCTCTGTCTCTCTCTGGTCAAATTTAAAAAAAAAAATAAATGAACGAATAAATAAAAATAAAATAATTATTAAAAAAAAAAGAAATGTACAGATCTATTTTAGTAAAAAACTAACACTAAAGATAAAGCAGTACCAGGGCCAGCAGGTGGAATGGAAGTTAAGGTGGCTGGATCCCACACAGCCAAATGTGTGGTGTGAGTCCCAGACCTGCGAACTTGAAAAACACTCCAAGTGTGTGTATGTGCATGCCCAAAATCCTGAGAGGAGAATGGAGAAAAAGGGACTGTGGTATGGTATGACCATCCCCCCTGGGGTGTGATTTCTTACTTTATCTCTCTTTCTCTGTGTCTCTCTCTTGTGAGCACATGTGTCCTATAGCAAAAATAAATAAATAAATAAATAAATAAAAATTTAAAATAAAGCAGCAACAGACATCAGGCTAAAATTGTAAAGTTCAGTAAAGATTAGATAAAAACAAGAAAAAAATGACTGTAGCTTGAAACTAAGAAAGTTTATTTTTTGCCATTATATGTGAAATATTAATTTTGTAAATTATCTGGAATATATGTACCTGGTTATTAATATAACAGTTCCCCTAAACTCTTTCTTGAAACTTATGGTGAGGAGACAGAAAAAGAAATTGTCTTTAGGAAAGACACTGAATAAGTTATAAAAATATCTTTTGGGAGAACAACAGATGGCATAATGGTTACATCGCTGGACTCCCATAGTCAACCGTCATTCGAGTCTAGGACCAAACAGCTTAAAACTCTTGCTAGGCGGCCAGCAGGTGCATGGTGGTTAAGGGCGTTGGACTTCCACATGGCTGACTGTGGTTCAAGTCACGGATCTGGTGGCTTGCTTTCTCACTTTCCCTCTCTCTCACTCTATCCCTCTATGGTCAAATCAAAATAAATAAATAAAGTTAAATAAAATAATTCTTTTTTTTTTTTTGGCGAGGTTTTTGCTATAGGGCGTGTGTGCTTGCCAGAAAGACAGAGAAACAGAGAGACAGAAAGAGAGAAATCACCACCTGGCGGGGATAGCCACATCGCAATCCCTTCTCCATTCTCCTCTCAGGATCTTGGGCACGCACGCACATGTACCTGGTGTTGTGTTTAAGCCACCAGGTCTGGGACTCGAACCTCGGTCAAATACATGGGAGTCCAGTGACTATCCATTATGCCATCTGCTGGTCCCTAAAATAATTCTTATAAAAAAGAAACAAAAACAAAAACTCTCACCATGTGAGTTCATGCCCAAAATCCCAGGAGGAGAATGGAGGAGGGGATCAGCAGTTAGCATAATGGCTATGTCACTTGGACTCCCATGTAGCCGACCGCGGTTTGAGTCCTGGACCTGGTGGCTTAAACTCACGCTGGGCGTGTGTGCGTGTGTGCCCCAGATCCCGAGAGGAGAATGGAGGATAAGGGACTGCGGCATAGCCATCCCCCCTGGGGGGTGATTTCTTGCTCTCTGTCTCTCTGTCTCTCTGTGTCTGTCTGGCGAGCGCACGTGCCCTATAGCAAGATAAAAAAAAGGAAGAAAGAAAAAAAGAAGAGAGAATGGAGGAGAAGGGACTGTGGTGTGGCCATTCCTCCTAAGGGGTGATTTCTCACCTCCCTGTCTCTCTTTGTCTTTCCGGCAAGTGCACACATCCAATAGCAAAAATCTATTTAGAAAGAAAGAAAAGAAAACACATTGGGTTGTTAGAAAAGTCATGACACATTTTTGCATAGATAAATAGAAAAAAATACACCATGATTTTTCCAATGACCCAATACTAGCACATAAGGCACTATAAACAGAATTCTGACAGCACCAATTTGTTCAGAAACTCAACCCTCTAAGATTGTTTGACTCAAACGAATGCTGGTTTTTATAGGGCTGGCTGGCTCCTTTTATCCAACTTAGATAACATATTACCTATTCAGTAACCCTAAACCCCTATTCTCTCCCTTTTCTAAGCTGAACAGGGAAAAGGGGAAACTATCATTTCTGGCTATAAATGTTCATCTAGAACTGTTAGTCAACTGTCAACCACCTAGCCTCTAAGTTTTAAGAGCAACAAGTCAAATATAAATTAAAGAGTAATAAATTAAAGAGTAAAACTGTTTAATTTAGAGACTAGCAAGCTCCAGCAGCTCTGTGACACACCAGACTCATTTGTGGACTCCCACCCTATTTGGTAATAGGGTGCATGCACTTGTCAGAGAGACAGAGAAAGGAGATGAAGAGAGAAAGTACCCCATGGGGGAGCTGGCCACACCACAATCCCTCACAATCCCTTCCCCTCCATTCTCCTCTCAGGATTCTGGGCACACAAGCGCCCACACTGCTGTTTTTCAAGCCGCCAGGTGTGGCGCTTGAACAGTGCAGTTGGCCATGTGAGATTCAGCCGTCTTAACC